ATCTGTATTGGTATATCAGCATAATGCGCATTGCCCACCCTGAACTGAGTGTCGTGACTAGTAGACGAATGCTGCCTTTAGAGAGTCGGATTAACTTTACTTCTGCTTGAATGTCGAGCACGGTTGGTGGCCTTGTTTAACAAAAGCAAAAAGTTCCGCAAGTGGCGCGGCAAAAGCATGGCTGATATGAAGCAGATCTCCTGTATAAGCAGGGTACACCTCGGCAATATCCAACTAAGTCCCTCGGAGTGCTCTTTCAGCAACCCGTCGCCAGAGGATTGCGCGGACGAAGCGATTCACTTGCTTGCTTGAGATGCACAGTCTTGCCATTGGCCATTCTCGGGGTAAGTCACTGTAGAGTTGTGGAGGAGGTAGTGCAACGCATTTCCTTGCCGCGGCGGCGGCAGCATGAGCAGTGGCTTGGTAGCCATGCAAACCTTGCATGGCCGTCTGTTCGGATGCCAGCTTCAGATCTGTGACTGCAGTGCCTCCTTGCTCCGTGCCCACTTGGCCATTGTCCAGGTCAATTTCTGCCGTGACGTACTGATTCTCCTGTGCATTCTCTGGGTGGTCGGACGGTGTGGCTGGGTTCACACGGACTGGAGCTCCGCTACCACGAAAAAGATCGGGTGGCAACCTTACACGGTAGACTGCCTGCCTCTCCTGGATCTTTAGCTCACAACAGGCTCTCACACTCGTCCGGTACGGTACGAAACCTTTCCTTCAAACCTCCGAACACTTCGGAAAACTTCAAACGCTGCACAAGCTGCTCTCAGACACTCGCACCCTTTTTTGTCTCACACCAGCCAAACGAATTGGCCTTGAGCCAAAACATATCCCGTACTAAACTGCACAAAGAACACACGAAAACCATTTTAAAAGTCTCTTAAAGCATCTCCACACACAAAGAACTCTTTCAAAACTTCCGACTCGCCACAAGTCGCTTTCAAACAATCAAGAAACAAAATGTTGTACTGCCGTGCAAGCATTTTTTTCCACGAGTACGGACGCCATGTGGGCGGTGTGCCCAGGTCATCATTGAAGGAAAGGAAACACAACTTGATGATGGGGAATAAAAACGCCAAAACAAGCCAAACAAGGGAAGCAACAAAAACCAAAGCACAACAAAAACCACCAAACAGGCCAAGGCCAGTTCCCCATCATAGCTGGCAGTGTTTCCTCTGTACGGAGGTGAGACAAGTGAGAAAAGTGGCTGCATACTATCTAAGGGCCTGAATTCTCTACGAAACATGCCAAGTGCATCTGTGCGTGAGCGGAGAGCCTGCGCAGCCAATCAAATGTGGCTTCGTTCTGTTGTCAAGGCCTGAACACCTTAGCCACTACAACGAGTGGCAATCAAGATATTGCAGCTTTTAGCAAAGGGCTCATGATGGCAGTCAGCAGTAATGATTCTTGCCAAAGGAAATCGGTGGTTGCAATGCCAAGCAAGCCAAGGAAAATTCCCTTTTCGTAGTACAACCCATACAACTGATTGCACGAACGAAGTGAGAGGCAGATCTCGAGTCTGGCGGTGGAGGCAGAGCAACGAAAGGACTGCCGCAAGGGAGGTCACCTTTGCACCCCTTGGCTCCCAAACTTGTGCCAAAAGGGGTGAGTCATTCATGTAATGGTGTGCAAGGAGAGACACCATCCAACTACATGCAAGGCCCGTGTGAGACAGGTGAAACTGAAGACCTATCCTAGCATGGTTCTTGTGCTGGTTTGGCAGCCGCAGATGAGTAACTAAGGTTCTCCCTGGGCGCCTTCCATCACCATTCGCTACCACCCGCCTGCCAGGGACAAGGAGCTAAGGCTCTCATCCCGGTGGGCTCACAAAATCGTAGGTGATGAGGGCGGAATAGTGACTCTGTTTGGACTTCGAATCGACTGGCAAGCACTCAAGGAGTGGGAGAAGGGACTCCTGGGCAGACACATTGTGACTGGGCATTCTAAGTCCTAGGGTACTGCTTCTATAAATTCTTCTCTCCACTGATCTTTGGCATTTGGCGGCAAGAAACGAAGCCACGTGGGCTTGTCTAGGTGCTCACATTTGTCAAAGGCATTGATCCGGGCATACGTTCCTCGCCAAGTCGTGCTTTTCCCCGTTTTACGAAATACGCGAAGTTGCGTGCAACCTGCAAAAGCACGCCGCGCAATGTAGAGCAGGGATGGTGGAGTGCAAACCTCTTGCAGCGAGGCGCACTGGAGGAAAGCTTCTTGTTCTATGGTTCGCAAGTTTCGGGAAAGGCTGAGCTGTTGTAATTGCGAGCAGTGTGCAAAGGTCGAGCCCAATATTTCAATGATGCCTGTTCGAGACAGGTCAACGATCTGCAACTGCTGGCAACGCGCACAGGCGGCCGGTCCAACCCAATTAAAATCTGGCGGCAGGGAAAGTGAGACAATTCCTGCTTCCAGGAAGCAACAGTCAGGCAAGCATCTGTTTGGGTTCGCAGGGTCATACTCTGCCTTTTCCAGGTTGAGGTGACGCAGGGCCGTACACTTTTCAAAAGCTCGAGGCCGAAATTGCGCTTGAGGGGCTAAAGGATTATCAGGGTGTTGAGTCGCCCCAATTTGGGTTAGTGGGCAACACGCCTCCAAAACCTTAATGCCGAATTGTCTGCATCCGGGGGCTGTCACAGCACGTAGAACATAACACCTGCGAAATGCCCCGTGCCTCAGGCATACGACTGTGTCTGGTAAGTGGACTACTTGCAGTCGCTGACAACTCCTCCAAGCAGCTTCCCCTACAATCCGGATGCCTGCTTCAACTTGGACATGGCGGACTTCCGTGTGGAAGGAAAACGCTTGAGGTAGAATTTTGTCATTCTTGCCAAAGGGTACTCGAATGGCTTTGGCGTCACCCATGAGGTGCCCTTTGTGTACTGCTTCCACAAAACACTGTCGGGCGATCACGTAAAAACACTGGTTGGCACGTAGTGTGCCCCGAATGGGGTCAGCCAAGACTTTATGGGTGTCCTTTTGTACGAATTGCAGCTCGCACCCGAAAGTGCTGTTGCTTCCCAAGTGGGGGAGCTGTCCTAGCACTGCATTTCGAAATCATGGAGTCTGTCGTGCTTGCGCGGGTCGATAACAAGTTGAATTTCTTCACCCGCCAGGGTGGTGAGTGAGAGAGGCGGTGCTGATGATCTTTCCTTGCTTCCTTGCAGGCCATGACTAGGCATAGCTTCTGCCATGCTCACAACTTGCAAATTGCTACCTTGAGCCTATAGGAAACGAGGCGGGAGCGCAGCCCTGATCTGGAGGTGGCAGTTGACAGTCACTCCACTTGACTATAGATTACGGCCACCTGTACTGTGAGGCACGCTATTTTTCCACTCGCCTACCCTGGACAGGAGCTAAGGCTCGCACCCAGGCACTTAGTTGATGACAGGGATGGTGAACTGCAAGAAAAGTGTATCCTAGGCGGAGGCCAGTCCTTCGTCCCAATTTTGCTTCCGACCTCTTCGGGTAGCTTACACGTTGCAATCCTGCGGATGAGAGATCCGCAATGCCCAAACCGGGACCTTGGCTTGAGCGAGGAAGAATCCCTTCAGGCTAAGCCAGATACATGCCCCGTGTCTGGGATCATATGCATCGCATCCCTGGGCAGATGGCGAAAGCGTTTTCTTCCGCGTAGATTTGTGCCGGCCGGGTAACTTGACCAGTCTCCGGAGTGCAGTACAGTCCAAAAAGGCTCTGCTTGCTATATACCTCAACGAGGGTGGTATAGCAAGTTCTGGCAGGGCTGCACAGTTCATGAAAGCTTTGACTCTAATGGTGTCCTAAGGCTAGTGCAGTGCACAAAGGTAAATTCTTGGATTTCTTCAATCTTTGTGTTGGAGATGTCGACTTTCTTTAGTAAGTGACAGTTGTCACAGGCATGTGCCCCTATTACCGAGAAATCCTGCGTGAGTGTAAGTGTGCTTATCCCCGTAGAGCTAAGGCAGCCTTGCGCCAGTTCTCTGGCAGTAGTTTGCGGTGACAGCCCGCTTGGGGGGGGAGCCTCTCGCAGGACAAATTCGGCGAGGTTTATACAATCTCGAAAGAGGTAGTGCCCAAATTTGGTGGTGCTACAAAACTGATTGGCAAGTCTTTGCTAAGTTCAGGGTAAGTGCTTATTTAAGAAGTGACAGAACCACTTCAATAATTCAAAATCTATGAAGTTTATAGATTAATATTATAGTTATTAATTTTTCCTTTTTCTGCATGATTAGTTGTCAGGGGAACTTCATCTTGGATGAGTTTCCAAGGAAACTTGGATGTGGTTCCAAGTGGCGTCACTGGAGAGTGCTGGTGCCATCTCAAAGATGGTTGGTTACACTCTGCATGACCCATTCAATCCCCCAGAAAAGGGTGGGAAAAGATGGGTGGGCCATGAAGATCAGAGAGTTATTTTTAAACCCTCCTCGCCCTCTCCAGCCAGTGCTGCGCGGGTTTAGATGAAAGTGAGGTCTAAGATTTCATACACACGTATGCATGAGACCTTTTAGTTTTTTCAACTAAGGTAATTTTTATTTTTGAAATTTTGAAGTAAAGTAAATTGAAGCACAAGCATATGAGGTGGTAAAAACGTTCATTGTACACAAGTACCAAGCACACAACTCACATACAAGTTTACACTAAACAATACAAAGGTGAGTTCAATACTCAAACCACTTACCCCGTGCTAAGATGCACTGTGAACACCGAAAAGACGGTTTGATCCCTTTCAGGGAGCTGCGCCGTCTTTGCTAAGTTCAGGGTAAGTGCTTATTTAAGAAGTGACAGAACCACTTCAATAATTCAAAATCTATGAATTTTTTAGATTAATATTATAGTTATTAATTTTTCCCTTTTTCTGCATGATTAGTTGTCAGGGGAACTTCATCTTGGATGAGTTTCCAAGGAAACTTGGATGTGGTTCCAAGTGGCGTCACTGGAGAGTGCTGGTGCCATCTCAAAGATGGTTGGTTACACTCTGCATGACCCGTTCAATCCCCCTTCATGTTGTCATGCAGAGGTTAAAGGTGGCTATCATCGAAGGTTGGTTCAACGAACTTAAGGAGCGCAGGCATACCGGAAAAATCAGCGCATAGCTTAGATACTTCATCAACCGACGATAGATCACTCCAAGGCGTACCATCTATCATTCGCAAGGCATCATCGTTCTTATCCCTACTCGGCAAGTCAGCAATGTTGGAGGGGGAAGGAACCCTCTCGATCCAAGGCACACACAAGTCGTATTCTGGGCAAGAATGGAACAACTGCACGATGAGGAGCAAAGGCAACGAGGCACTGCTAGCCTTGATCAAGCTAAATCGAGCTCCCTCATTGTCAACAAAAAACAAGACCTTACGCCTGAGCAAAAAGGACCTGAACATGTGACGGGCCAGCAGGACAGCGAAAGCCTCAGCCAACGTTATGACCTGCTCCACACCGAATGTGTGCCAAGCATCAACCGACTGCTTGGGCACTATGCCTCCAACAGAGGTGCGCAAGCCGGATGCGGCATCCAAGACGACAATGCCCCAGGTCGCAACGTCATTTTCATAGGCAGCGTCGGTGAAAACCACCACTGACCGCGTTTCGTCACCAGGCAGGATGTGCTTGGGCTGCACAGTAGCCATCACATCAATGGTCCACTTACATACTGCCACCAAGTCGTCCTTACGGCATCTTGAGTTCCCTGTCGACAAGAACGCAAAGGCACGGGCCGCTATCTTAAGGGAGTGCCCCAAGAAAAAGCCCATTGCGAAGTTCAAGTTGCCATGGATGACCTGCGATTGCCTAACGTTAATGGACCCCTTCTTTATGACCTCTTCAAGCAAACCGGTGATTTTCTCAATCCTGGAAGGTTTGTTGCCCAAGTTGAAACCATGCTCTCCAAGATCGCCCAAGGAAAGCCTAACCCCTAGGACATCAAAGCAAGGTGCAAATGGGACAACTTTGGATGGGTCTGCAGTGAAAGACCACCCTAGGCTCCTCACCATTCCTTCGAACGAGTGGGAAGCCAAGGTGCAAGTGCTCTCAGGCTCAAGCAACGGGAAATCATCATAAAAGACCCCTCCCAAGATTCTGCAACCAACGGTCGACAAGTGATGCAAACTTCGGGAAATGCGATTAAAGGCGTAAACACTTGCACTCGCTCCAAAAGGCAGGCTTCTGCTCACGAAGTAGGTGGGTTCACCTGTCTGGGGATGATGCACCATCAAGACAGCAAAGCACCGAGACTCGCTACTTACTGGCACCTGTTTATATGCCTTAGACAAGTCGACGCACCGGCCCTGCCACCCAATGCTGCCCTCAAAGCTCGGATGCAAGCTACCTTCAAGAGTCCTACCGTCGTTCCTAGGTATTACAACCCGGCCACCATTCGCTTTGGCTCTACTTAGGGTGGTGGAGATTAGGTGGGCTAGAGAAGCAATGTAATCGATGTCATGTAAAGCAAGTTTATCGATCGCAGTATAAGTTCGATTTACGCCGCTCTCCTTGAAGTCGTCAATCACCCTAGGCTTGCCAGATTGGACAATCACGAACCTGCGACTACATACAAAAAGCTGTTGGCCCACAACTTTCCGAACCTGCTCCAAGTCGTTAAACGGCCCCTCTAGAAACCCTAGCTCAACTTCCTTCAAGGTGGTGTCCCAAAGCAACACTGAGAGTTCGGGATCGTCACCATGAATATTCTTGGCCTCCATCTTCTTCCTCTGCCAAGTCGAAGTGAGGAGTGCATACTCAGGCGTCCAAGTTGCTGGTTTGATCTTGGTGTCAAACAGAGGTGACTTGCTTGGCGTACCTACCAAATCCGTGCCCAAAATCAAATTGGCAGGTTCCAAGTCTGGGCACCCACACTGCTTCAAAAGTTCACGGAATAGCAACAACCTCTTGCCTCTAAGTACCGATTGGGCGTGCATAGGCAAGGTGGAGAAAAACCGATCTTCTTCGGGCTGCAACTCCTTTGCCATAATCGCAACTCGTCTGGCAAACTCAATCCTCTGCTTTGCAATATAGTTTGGCCCCTTTGTCAAGAAGTCGAACAGGTTATCACGTGTATTGTCTTCAACTGAAAACAAATGATCACACGGATGTCTCGCCATCTGCGCAAGACTGACAAACTGGCTTGGGGTATGGTAAACACCGGATTGCATGCTTTCATCGTCTGCAACTCCATTTAGCTTATCTTCCTCCCCGAAGATGTCCCCCCTTTGAAGTGGAGGAAGCTCTTTATAGGAAAGATGGGCTGCTGGTGGATGCTTGATGATATGATGATATTCAGGAATCAAGGCACGGGAATGTTTAGTCTGACGGTGTCCACTGCTAGCACGATCGACGTGGAAGTCAAAGCGGTCCTTGAGACACTCCCGTACCAGGTTCACCATTCGCTTACAAAGCAAAGGAGGGTATTCACTCTCTTTAGCTGTGTCGAACTGCCATCCTCCATGGTTCCGAGTCAGTGCATAGGGCTTGTGTGCATGATTGCCTGGGCATCGTGCATGGAGTGCTTGAAGGCATGGATGTGTACACTTAAACAAAGTCATCTTAGGGCGCTCACCGCCGTGAGCACAATTCGGGCACTCAATGTTGCGCATGGCGTGCCAAACGATTGCCTGGTTCTGAGGCAGCAATGTGTTGGCAAAGTGCGTGAGAACACCCCACATCCATGAGTTCAATGGATTTTCGATGCATACGATGGTGCCTTGTGCAACTGCCACGGAAAAGAGTTGGATTGTAAAACGCGCAAGCTCATTCGCGGCTTCGACCCGTGCGCGCTCGTTTGGAGAAAGGTCAGGGAATCCCAATAAGAAATTCTTATCACGGAGCTGTCTCGGTTCTGGGGCTCCGGCTTGTTTCAAGTGTCTAGGGATTGGCTTCTCTCGAGCACGACTTCCTGTGCCGCACGGGATGGCCACATGAATAAAAGCTGGTTTGATGTCTGATACCACTCGGAGTAAACAGTCCTGCATTGGCTTTTCAACCAAATCTAAATTCAAGATGGGGCTTTCGGGCAAATGCTGGTTCCTAGGCCCATCTATAGCTAGCGTTGCAAAACCGGCAAGCTGAGCAAATCGACTAAGTCGGCCACAGCCTGCAAAAACTTCACAAAAAATGGCTCTGGATGAATGCTGTGCATCTGGAAAAATTGGCAGCCTCCTGGACAAAGGAATCTCGTTTGTTTCCAAGCGAGGTCGTTTCCCGCCTGGCTCATCACCCTCGTGATGAGAGAGATCCCGTCACGAAGAACCGCAACACTGAGAATATGGCTTAGGCTTGAAACATTTCCAACACACATGGAAACCGAACTTGCATCGCTTGCCCTCCTTAGCAAAGGTACATTTGCCACGGTTGAAGGTGTTACAAATGGGTTTGTTCTGTGGTGTCGTCTGGTTGCAGCCTTCGGGCAATGCTTGCTGTTTGGGATCCTTGTTGAACTCATTGCGCACTTTTCCAAGACCTTTGCCTTTGGGCTTGTTGCGTGCATTCGGTTGGACACTAGACAGCGATGGGGGATCAGCTTTGGCGACCTTCACCCTAGGGATCAAACAAAACTGCACCTCGGGATGATTCATGCACTCGTTGAAGACCACTTGCGTGGGCTTCGTTCCATCAGGGCGTTGGGTCAAAGCTCCTTGCGTCCTCTCGGCAAGCTTCCTGAACAACATTTGATCTGCCTCGCGAATCTGGCCAATGGTGATGGGGAGTGCATTGGAAACGCTCTCACGATGTAAAAGCTCAAACACTCGTTCATGCCATGATTCCATTACTTGGTATGAACACAGCTGCGTCAAGTCGAAAGCTCGGGCCTTGCGATTGAATGCCTGCCTGACCATGAGTTCACCGTTCATCACCATATCAGGACATGTATGCTTTTGTGCTACTTTGACGTTTCCGCTGTGGTCAAAACTCAGCTTGAAGTCCTTCTGCGTGTGGGTGATTTCACTAGCACGGTTGTATCCATTCCAAAGTCTGATCAACTCCCATTTGGTTGATGGTATCTACTAGCTTATGCGATGGTTCGGATTCCGGGCTAAAATGCAATCCCACCAACCGCCTCTTCTGGTCCTCCAATCTCGAATTGCGTTCAGCAACAGGGAGCCTACTCGGCTCTGCAGTATCGTCACGCTCTTGCCTTTGTTTCAGATCGTTGATGGCTACGGTAACACTTTCGAAGAAAAGACGGCGAAGTCCAATCTGTTCAGCAATGGTTGGATCCCTACCCATCACTCGATTCAAAGCTGTTATCAAAGGCGTTTCATCGGGCTGGCCTGGTTGATATGGAGTGATGAAAGCAAAGCTACCATATGAAGTAACACCTCCAAGCTCTAAAAGGTCAAGGACTGCAGTCGTCACACCAATCTGTTCGGCCCGTGCCCTGAAGTCCGCTTTCGAGTCAATGGCTGACGACATGGCTTCCGGTCAAAGCTCAAAACGAAGGACTATTATAATTTATCATGGAAACTAGCCAATTGTGAGCCTCTATGCATGTTGGAAAGGCCTCAAAGGACAATTTATGTGGTGCAAAGTTGAACGACTAAGGCATTACCCATATGATCGAAAACACTTTTTGAGCTAGATCCAAAGTCGCAGTGAAAGGTGTAAAGCTCACCAACGATTGCCAAGAATGATGATGCCTACACTTGCCCAGCTGGTTACAGACTAGCTGCTGATTGCTGGATGCAACTGCTAAACGGCTCATTCTTTGTCGCTGGCAATCTCGGATCTGACAGGATACGTCTATGCAGATGTAGACGCTGCTGTCTCCACAAACATTAAATGAATTAAGACGGGGTGTATTCATCAGTGTGGTCAAGATTCGCTCATCCTTCATCCCCAAGCCAGATGAGGGCATTCTGCTCGCCACCAAAACCATCATTTGCATCCGAGTTCAAGCTGCCACTGGATGAGGGCCAGGCTACCGGCGGGGTTGGCACTGTCCAGTAAGAGATCACGCTCTCCAGATGCAACCTGTGCATTGTAGCGGCCAATGAGATCTCGCCTCTATCAAGAACCAAAGCGACCGACGCGTGACTCATTCTGAACTGCTCGAAGGTGGTCAAGAATGCAAAAATGATGGTCTGATTCCTATGAACCCGCCAAACCAAGTCCAAAAAGGTGCAAGAAGAATGGCTGTTGCAAAAGCGCTCCAAACTGCACCATCCCGGAGTCAGGAGTTGTGTCATGGCCCGTTCAACAACCAAATGAAGCAGCTAATCCAACCTAAGCAAAACCACACTGCTGCCTGCCAAAGTCCACACAGGCTCCAACGTCGGGGGCGTTCAACGGAGGGTTTGGACAAAGCAGCTATACCCCTTGCCGAGGCTTGTGGCATGGATCTCAACCCCTTGAACAAAGTGCAAAAGATGATGCAGTTGAAGAAGTGAAAACCTTTTGAAACTAGATTATAGTTATTTATGAGTCCTCTTCCATTAAATGAGTCTTCTTTTCATAGTTTGGAATGTAGACGATTGTGAGGGATGTCAAACTCTCAGAGTTTAAGGCTTGAGCCGTGCGCTGATGGCGGTAAGTCCCGCGTGTTTACGCAACAGCCTGCCATTGATTCTCTGTGATGTTTGATTGACTCACTAGTCCCTAGCTCACTCCTTTTCCCAAAAGGTGAACAAGTCCGAGTGAACCCTAAGGGCGGCACTGTTTGTACGACGTCCGACATCATGTGTTCAAGCCTGATGCAAGTCGAGCCGAACGGCTGGCCATGAACATCGCAGGTGAGGAGACGCATCAGGGAGAGGAGAGCGAGGATGACATCGTCGAGGGTGACATTGGGAGGACTCCTGCTTCGACCGGTGTGAGCACCAACTGGGATGGGGTGACCTTGGACGTGTTGAAACGTTTGCGCATTCACCTTCACTCCGGGGTCGTACATGTCATCTCGGAGGCTGACTGTCACCGCTTCAAGTGTGGGAGGAAACACACCCAGAACTTCGACGAGATCCCGGCAGATACCAACTATGCCGACCTTCCGGCGTGTGGCAACCTATACCATCCAGTGTGTCAGCTTTGAACCCTGAGGACAACAAAAACTCATGCAAGTATAAATAAGCCTCCCCGGTCGTCATACGCCTGTCCAACCACGTGTTGCTGATCTCTGAATAAGCCGGCAATGATGGATCCAAACCCAGCTGAGCTTTCTGCCTCTCCTCAATCCATTTGGATGCCCAAGCTTGCCCCCCAAGGAAGCGTCCCAGGCTGAGCAATGGAAGGAGGCTCTTCTTGCGCTCTTCGGTGAGGCCAGTTTTGAACGATTTGGATTCAGCTTCAACCAACTCAAGAGATTCGTGGAAGGTCACCTCAAGCTTGTGAAGATGGATTGAATCACCAAAACGTGAACTGCCCATACACAAAAGAAAATGTCCTGCAATGATCCTCCGATGTGGGTAGGGAGCAAAGTTGGCCACATTCTCCAAAGCCACAATCATCTTCACTGACAAAGGCGCCGCCTGTTGCAAGACACGTTTCTCACTCATCATTGCCCGCGCAGCGCCCCGCACTCGTGATGAAAGAATATCCTCAAGTGGGTAGCCTAGCAGTCCAATCTGATGGTGCAGGAAGGTCCATGCTTGAAGAAAGCTGGTCGCTGTCGTCGGTGCTCCGTGTTCCTTCAAAAACTGCATGTACCTGTACACAGTACTCTCAGAAGAACTAATGATGGCCCCCATTCTATTATCTTCACACCACGATTTGAAGCGCCACAGTGATGCTGACCTCTTGACTAATGTTGCTGTTGACTTGCCCTCAAAAGCATCGTTGAAAGAACATTCCCATTGCTGTTCACTTTGTAAAAAGCGGACTGCAGACACCAGGCAACGTCCAAGCTTGCTACCATCAGGATCGTCAAGTACAATGGCCTTGAATTTCTTCAATGCCTCCCATTTCACTTGGTCGTCAGTCTTCATCAGGCACGTCAACCTCAGCCGCTTGGCTGCCAACAAGCTCACCGCCCCTGGTTCAGGCATTGGCGGACTAGTGCACTGGGGTGTTACCAGAGCCGGTACCAGTCCAACGAAAGGCGGCTTGAAGAACCTCGAAGTATCCATCCACTTAGCGGATGGCGCCTCCAATCCAGGAAAGGACAACGGCTTGATGGAATGGCTTCTTTGAAGTTTCAACCAAGCATCGAAGATCGAAGGCTGCATCCAAGCATGGAGATTGTTCTGGCAGTGGTACTCTCTGAGTATTGCATGCATCTCAGAGGCGACGAGGGTATGGCTACTGCTCGAGTTGGTGTGTTCATCCCTAGCATGTTCCGATGACGCCAGAGCATCTTCCGAAATCTCTCGAGCGTGTTCAGATGTCACCGAATGTGCCTCCTCAAGGTCAAACGGATCGAACGAGTCCATGTCCCCCGCGCCCCATGAAGATCAGGGAGTTATTTTTAAACCCTCCTCGCCCTCTCCAGCCAGTGCTGCGCGGGTTTAGATGAAAGTGAGGTCTAAGATTTCATACACACGTATGCATGAGACCTTTTAGTTTTTTCAAAGAAGGTAATTTTCTTGTTGAAATAAAGTAAAGTGAAGCACAAGCATATGAGGTGGTAAAAACGTTCATTGTACACAAGTACAAAGCACACAACTCACATACAAGTTTACACTAAACAATACAAAGGTGAGTTCAATACTCAAACCACTTACCCCGTGCTAAGATGCACTGTGAACACCGAAAAGACGGTTTGATCCCTTTCAGGGAGCTGCACCTTCCTTCAGCTGCATACACCCATTGCAAGGAGCTGCATTCCGCAAAGGCTTTATAGCCAAACTCTCGGCGCCAGGTGCGGTGACACTGCTGAGCAGTTGGCAGCCTCGAAATGCATTGTCAGCAATGCCCACGACTGTTGCCGGCATTCTGACGATTCGAAGCTGTCGGCAACTTTGCCAAGCTTCTGCGCCAACAAATCTGATGTCTGGCTCAATGCTGACAGGACGTAGACGTGGTACCCCTGCAAACGCCCCTTCAGGGACCATTTCCTTCTAGGTTCATGGGGACATGGACAGCCAGCGGAATGTCGTGGAGGGGACACCCTTCTAGGCATTCCTGTGAGTGGAGGACTTCGCTGCAATCCCGAAAGACAATGCAGTACTCCATGCTCTGCTGCAGTTTTTCCCAGATTGGGTTCTCTAGGTAGGTTTGTGTGGCCACTTGCAAGAAGTCGATGGTGCACCCGAAGACCTTGAGATCAGTCACCGAGGCGAGGTAATCAACCACATGGTCCTCAAGGTCCTCAAATCGATCAAACTTGGCAACGCTCATAGAGACGTTTACGATCGTACCCGAAAGGGCAGTTAGCACCAAATGGCAATCCATAACCGGCTCGCATTCAGGGGGGGAGCTGTCATCTGATGAACCAGTGGGTTCCATGGGTGGGCTGCTACCTTAGGTCGCTGTTTGAGCCAATAGCTTCACACTGTGTTCGTCCTGAGCTTGAGTTTTGTCTGTTCTTTGCGATTCTCGACAAAGGAAGATGACTCCCGTAGCTCGGGTTTACCGCACAGGACAAATGCTAAGGCACCTACCCTGGCTACCGCTTGACCGGTGGTCCAGTGATTTGCCTGGGGAGGTATGTCAACTATTTCCCATGCCTAGAGTGGTCTTCTCTAGCTGGAAAGATAGGCAAGGGGGATGGTATGCTCATTTCTCCCGTGCTTGGGCCAGGACACGCCTGAAAGGGGGCTTTCTACCCAGGACAGGTGCTAAGGCACCCACCTTGGTTCTTTAGCGAACTGCCTTGGGTTTAGGGGAATTCCGTATGAAGCTGTCAAAGGCGTCAGAGTCTGGTCCTTCAGATGGAAGGAGCTCTACCCAAGGTGCCCTTTCAAAATTGTCACACAACAGGAAGGCATTGCGTTCTGCTCCCAGTCGAGGGGCGTGAAACGCCTTAGCTGCTCGCACCCACAAAAAGCACGAATGCCTATGTCTTGGAGCTCGGTCGGAATGACGATCTCTCGGAGCGCTACGCAACTGAGGAACACTTCTTTGCCAATTCGCGTTAATCTTGGCGGTAGCCAGATGTCAGTCAGGGCGACACAGTGGGCAAAGGTGGACTTGAGGAGAGCAGTGACCTCTGTGCACATGAGGTTGACTTCGACAAGCCGCTTGCAGTTTTCACATGCCCGCGGGCCAATGCTATGAAAGTCACTTGGTGTTCTAGGCTTGCTGGTTTGGTCCATTGCAAAAGCGATAGACGTGAGCGTGAGACAACTTTCGAAGGCAAAGCGGCCCAGCTGTGCCCCTGGTGCAAGGATATTGGTGTCGTCCGCTTCCTTGCCGATACCTACCTTACTGAGGGAGCAGCACTCAGCAAACACCCTTCGGCTGTACTGGACACATCCCGGGACTGTGATCTCCCTGAGGACATAGCAGCCTTGAAAGGCTCCATCTTCAAGGCTGATGACCGAGGGAGGGAGTTTGACAATCTGCAACTGTTGGCAACCTTGCCAGGCTGCAAAACCCACATGCTTCATTCCTGCAGCAACTTCCACATGTCGGAGCATCGGCGCTGCATAGAAAGCTCTGTCGGCAATTTCTTTGCGCGGATTGATGGGGACGCGTACAGTACAGCTTTGGGGTAGCTCTCTCTGCCACTCTCTTGGAATTGCCAGATAGAGTGGCCCTCTTCCAGGCAGGGCCGGACTATAATTTGCAGCTTCTTCTGCTGCAACAGCGCGGTATGGAAGGCTTCTGACAAGGGTAGCTGCGTATCGAGCTCAATGAGATCAACTTCGCAGCCAAAGACGTCAATGTCGGAAACGGTTGGCAGGAAGCTGAGGATGTCGTCCTCCAGTTGAGTGAGGTCTTCATAATGGGTCAGATTTGCTTGCGTAATATACTCATTGCCTGCCAATGTCACCAGGTGTATGTCAGCGGCGTATTGATCATGGCCATGCGGCATCATCCCTGGGGGTGGCAGTCCGAGTATGCCTACTCAGCCTGTTTGAGCCAGAGTGTTGCGTTGACAACAGGAAGGAAGTTACTACCAGCAGAGGAAAGCAATGGCTAAGGCCACCACTTTCACGGAGAGGTTAGGACAAATGGAAGGTCCAGCTGCAAGCAGTAGCTGTCGCTGAGGCTTTATTCATTGCCACCACCCTCGTGGAGGAGGCGGCGGGGGAGGCCGATTGCGGTAGTAGGGACGAGCAGCAGAAGATGAACTGCCCACGCCTAGGGGAGGGGCGATGCGCCGGGCTTTGGTTCGGTTACCGATATCGTCTCTTTTGCCCACTATTTTTTCTTTTAGTTCTTTCTTATGGCGCTCGATTTTGCTCCGAAATGTTGGATCCCCTGTGAGCCAGGCGCAGAGCCGATCCCACTGGTCATCCGTACAAGTCACATTGCCATATTGCTGGTACGGTCGATCTTCTTCTCGACAGGGAGGATAACCATAATAGTAATGATTGGAGAGTGTCCGACTGGGAAGTCGAGTAAGTTCCTGTCGAGGAGAGGAGACTCCACCCCATTCGGTACATGGCGATTTCCAGTCCTGAGGTTAGCCAACCTGCCACTACGGCACTTTCTGCTTGGGCATTTCCTTGTTCAAAGTTTCCGAGTGCTGTTGCTAGTCTGGTGTAGCGAATGGCAAACCGCCCGTATCCCTGTGCAAAGGTATAAGTGAGTTCCTCTACTGCTTCCTCGTCCTCGATTGACTCTTCTGCTTCTACTTCTAGCGGCTCGGCTGCTCCTACCGGCACCGGCTGCGCATATCTGGGCGACAGCTCCTTCGCCCCAGTGACGTCTGAGTCTATATCCGACTCCTCCGACTGTGGGTCAACTGGGGGGTGTCTGGCATTTGCAAAGTCCCTCCACAGCGGAACCTCTACACACAGCTTAAGTTGCGGGAGGGATGGGAACGACATGGATTGCCCCAAGGATGGGTCGAGGGCGCCGTAAGTGCGCGCTCTCTCAGCCCATGACGTGTCAGGCATTTGCGGGTGATTGTCGTACGCTACTTCCTTGCTGTACACACCTGCTACGAGCAGGGGATTGTCTTCTGCCCCCTCCTTCCTGGGCCTGTAGCCCCAGCCACTCTTCACTTCTGCCTTCTCGTAACCTTGTTGCCCAATGGCCTCGACAAGGGCTCGCAGAAGCTGGACTGGTAGGTATACAAAGAGATCGTTGATAGGTAGCGTCTGTTCCCCGTGCACCATTCCTCGCACGAAGGACATAATGACTGCTTGCATAAAGGTGAGTGCATCTACATCTTTTTCACTTGGCTCCTCCTGCTGACTCGGTGCTGCCTTTGCTGCTCTTGCATGTTTGCGTCTGTGTTCATTATTAAGGCACAGCACCCTGAGACAAACGCTAACAGGCTATACTGCCAGAAGAGGGGGTTCGCACAGAGCGCTGGTTGCTTTTGAGGGATAGAGGAACACGGTTGGTGTCCTTGTTTTTAACAAAAGCAAACAGGTTCGCCAGTGGCGCGGCAAAGGCTTCACTGATGTGGAGCAGGTCCGCTATGTACGCAGGGTACACTTCGGCAGGGATATCTCCAAAGTAAGTTCCTCGGAATCTCGCCATTGGCCATTCTCGGGGCAAGTCACTGTAGAGTTGTAGAGGAAGTAGTGCAACTCCTTTCCTGGCGGCCGCAGCATGAGCAGTGACTTGGTCGCCATGCAGTCCCTGCATGGCCGTCTGCTCAGATGCCAACTGTAGATCTGTGGCTGCAGTGCTCCTTGCTCCGTGTCCTCTTGGCCATTGTCCAGGTCAACTTCTGTCATGACACGCTGTTGCTCATGTGCAGACTCGGACCGCGTGGCTGGGTTCCCTCGAACTGGTAACTCTTGCGCAGGGCTGTCATGTTAGCCAGGTCCTCCAGCGTGACCGGTTGCTGCCCACACTCACGAAGGCTGTCGAGTCGCTGTTTGGATGCCTGCCCTGCCGACTGGCGGAGCTTTTTTTTGGATTGAGCTTTCCAGGATCCCGGCTTAGTCCCTGGTCGCAGTTTGATTGGAGACTCCGATACATG